TAACTTACATAAAATTTTAGACTTAGTATTCGTTAGCGCTGATATTAACTTTTCTTTAGTCCAATGTAGTTCACCTATAAGCAATTGTGATATCCATCATAGACCATTGCTACTAGGTATAAAAATTTACAGTTTTGCGCCTTCAGCTGAATATTCACCTAGATTTATTTTCAATGAAACCAGCCTTTGTGACAACAGAAATGAGATTCCTGCCATTAACTGGGAGTCAGTTTTATCAACTGTCAGTTTGGATTCGTGTTATGACACTTTTTTAGTTGTTATTTTAAAAATCATTAAGAACAATGCTCGAGAAAGGGTCCACAATTCGTTTAAGTTGCCGTGGTATACGAAACGTTTGAAAAAGCTTAAAAATTTTCGAAATAAATTCTATTAAAGGTTTTTAGTTACACAGGATCCTGGTGATTGGAATAGACACTTGCAGCACAAACGAGAATTTGAATTTCTAAATAAATTTCTTTACAATCAGTATATAGCGAGTGTTGAGAACGGCCTAAAAAGTAATCCCAACTCGTAATCCCAAGATCGCTTCTTCAGTTCCATCTGCTATGTTCCTAGGGAATTTATCTTCCCATTCAAATACAGAAACTGCAAATATCTTTGCCTCTTATTTTAAAGCTAATTTTAAGCCAACAGCAGCCTGAAATGATTCTCAAACCTTAAATGCAACCACTTCTCTATTGAATTTAGGTAGTTTAACCGTGCTAGAAGAGAATATTCATAGGGCTGTGGAAGACGTGGATGATTCTTACACTCCGGACTGTGATGGAATTCCGACCTACCTTCCGAAACATTGTATAGAGGTGCTATGCGTTCCACTAAAAATTCTTTTTGATAAATCGCTTTCTAGTGGACACTTTGCGGACAGATGGAAGGTCGCATCCGTGACTCCAATTTTAAAATCAAGACCGAAGAATAACATTGCCAATTACAGGCCTACAGCACCGATCAGTAATATCGCTAAACTCTTCGAACGCATTGTTGCCAATAAATTATCATTTCTTCTATAAACATATATAAGCACTTCTCAGCATGGTTTTGTTGCAGTTCGGTCAACTACGACTAATCTTGCCGTTTTCAGCAACTATTGCATTCATGCTTTTGATATGCGATCTCAGGTTGATGCTATTTACACTGATTTTGCGAAAGCCTTTGACAAAGTTAGCCACAGTGCCCTACTCGCAAAACTGGCCCGCTTGGGTATACATTCGGCATTACTAAATTGGATAAAATCATATTTACACCATCGACTTTATAGAGTTAATATTAATGGAAAATTGTTGGATTCCTATTTGGCAACCTCTGGCCTCCCTCAGGGGAGTGGTATGGGACCTCTGCTTTTCATCATTTTCATTAATGATGGGAGGTTTTGTCTATCTTTAGAGTGTCTCCTGTATGCAGATGACTTAAAAATTATTAAGTCAATTAAATTAATGACAGACTCATAATTGGTTCAACATGACTTAGATTCCTTGAGCTCTTTGTGTAGCCGAAATTCGCTTCCTCTTAACATAAGCAAGTGCTTCTATGTCACTTACAGTAAATCCGTATACAATTTCGTCACATCCTATAATATCAATGGTCAACCTCTACAACTGCGGCAGGAATCCTTGGATCTAGGTGTGTTGTTTGACTCGAAATTTAAGTTTGCAGTACACTTCGATTACATCATGCCCAGGGCCTATGCTACGTTTGGATTTGTGAAACGGAACGCATCACTATTCACGGATCCCTACACCAGACTTGCACTTTATTTTGCATTTGTCCGATCTAAACTAAAATATGCGTCTCTTATTTGGAATCCCTTCACTACCACTCATGGACACAGAATAGGACGTCTACAGAAACAGTTTTTGAAATTCGCTTTGTTGCCGCTAAGGTTTTTAGACCCTATCCCTTCATACCACCAGCAATGTAGGCTTGTTCAGCTGCCATCCCTTGAGCGTCGTAGAAGTATCCTCGCCATTTGCTTCATCTCTGTTTTGGTGGATGGTAGTATCGACTGTCCAGAACTACTTTCGAAAGTTGGTTTTCAAGCCCCGTCTAGACAACTTCGGAATTTTGATCCATTTTTCCTCGAGCTGCGGCGGACAAATTATTCGAAAAATTAGCTCCTCTATAGGGCCTTATATGAGTCTAATGCACTTCCAATTGATATGCAATTGGACTACTTCTCAAGTAAATAAATTCTTAAGCATAGGTTAGTCAATTATTTTGTAAATTTTAGTACGTAAGATAAGTTGTTGAATTGTACAAGTAGCCCGTAAAGGAATTCCGTTGGCGAAATAAATAAATATATTTAGAACACATGCAGAATCGTCAGAGTCATTAGAAAAGTCAGAATTAGTAGAATCGGCAGAGTCGTCAGAAATGATAGAATCGTCAGAAAAGTCAGAATTAGTAGAATCGTCAGTCGTCAGAAAAGTCACAATTATTAGAATTGTTGGATATAAAGGCCTTCTTCCGATTGCTTAATTGATTTAGTACACGATTTTAGTTTTTAGTTCAAAGTTTTTCTGTTTAATAGACGTATTTGTATTTTTTTCCACAAGAATCGTCAGAAAAGTCGGAATTAGTTGAATCGCCAGAGTCATTAGAAAAGTCAGAATTAGTAGAATCGTCAGAGTCGTCAGAATTGATAGAACCGTCAGAGTCGTCAGAAAAGTCAGAATTAGTAGAATCGTCAGAGTCGTCAGAAAAGTCAGAATTATTAGAATCGTCAGAAAAGTCGAAATTAGTACAATCGTCAGAGCTGTCAAAAAAATCAAAATTAGTAGAATTGTCAGAGTCATCAGAAGTAGCAGAGTTAAAGGCTTTAGAAAAGTCAAGGCTTGTGGAATTTGGAAATTTATCGGAATTACAAAAAGAAGTGGAATTGGTTAATTTAGTTGGCACAGTGGGAGCTGTGCCAGATGATATACACTTTCTACTGCAAACGGATCAAATGAGGGATGAAGCTATAAGTAAAATACGAGACGAGTTAGCAGAAGGACCAGTGAAAAGTATTGTTTTGATAGATGGTGTTGTGTATCACGAAGATACGAACCAGAATAGGACTTTGTATGTTCCATCAAGTATTCGAGATGATTAAATTAAGTTGTCCCCACGTAATATTGGTCATATAAAAGTGGCGACATGCGCTCCCCAAGCAAACGGACAGGTTGAGAGAGTAAATCGAGTGCTGACACCGATGTTAGGAAAATGGTCCAATCCAATTAATCAAGCTGATTGGTATAAACTTATAAATAAGGTTGTACACGCGATCAACAATTCAGTCCATTCTAGTACATTAAAAACACCAAGCACGATCCTCTTTGTAGTAGATCAAAAAGGTCCGATAGTTGATGGAATATATGAGTATTTAGATGATAAATTAAATAAAGATAAAAATATAGATTTAAAAGATATAAGGGATAAAGCAAATTTAAAGATTGTAGAGTCTCAGAAAAGAAATAAAATTATAAAAACAGCTAAACAGAAAGCACCATCGGAATATAGCGTTGAAGATTTTGTGACAATAAGAAATATAGACGTAACACCTGGCACTTGTAAAAAATTTGCGCCCAAATATAGGGGTTCATATAAAATAAATAGAGTTTTTGACAACGATAGGTTTGAAGTAACAGATATAGATAACTGTAAATTAACTCAGTTACCTTATAAAGGGATTTTAGAAGCTGCGAGGTTAAAACCATGGCTACAAATATAAAAGAAGACTGTAGCATTATGTACATAATCTTGATCGAGGTCGATCAATATGTCAGGTTGACCGAATATATACTAAATAGTATTAAGTGTGAACATAATGTTCTGCATTGTACTTAAGTGTGTACTTTCTGTTGTAAACATATGTGAATATATACTAATGTAAACATATGTTTACATATATATATATACTAATTAGTATTAAGTGTGAACTTTATGTTATATTATGCATTATATTTTAGTGTGTACTTTCTATAATGTAACTTTATATTAAAGCCTAGTACCCAGATCGACGAAAACCGCGAGCTAACCATAGGAGTGAGCGAGAGGCAAATACGCGGCTAACGCTTTTCGTCGGGTCCCCAGAAAAAATACCAGATTTTGCGAGTGAATTTTCGATGAACGCCGTTAGCCGCGGCCCAAAGAATAGGAAATTTAAACTTTTTCGGTGTTCGTGCAAAGGCGATGTGGAAACTAAAAATTAAAAATGGAAGGAAACCCCCAAAATCGAATCCAGAAGGTCAGAGCAGATGAAATAGGACGCCAAATCCAAGCTTATGCCCTTTATTGCGGGATTTCACCGACAGGAAGCAATTCCACAAAAGGGGGAAATTCGCAGAATAGTTGAAGTGCTGGAGGAGATCCACTAGAGAATCCCAGTGGGAAGGAACATGCCGAGTGGGACTTCGATCTCTACATGGACATCCTGCCGGGCGCGTCCTCGCAAAGAAAGTAAGATCTGGCCAAAAGAATTTGGTCGCGTTGTACTAATAGAAGTATCTTTTTAGCAGAACCATCAGTAATACGATTTCCGACGACCTCTCCATTAGGACTCCGGACACCACCACCACCAGCTACTTGGCAGCTTAAGCGGAGCTGGAGGACCCGCTGGCTTCTATAGGGAGGAGGAAAATAGGGCGCCCGCTAAGGAACAGTTGGAGAAGCCATAGTCAGCCACTGCCAGGATGCTGGGCGACTTCCTGCAGCATCAGCGGATCAACCCCGTTTCCAATCCGGCTCCCACTTCCTCAAGGTCCAATATGCCCATTGAGACTCGGAGCTGGACTGCGGTGGAGCGGGAAAGATGGCGAAGCATCCGTGGGACGAAAAGGTAGCTTTAAACTACTAATTTACATAAATAAAAACATTCGTTAAACATTCCATTTATTTTTGTTTTAATTTCTTTGTGTACCAGCAGACTCCACCTTTTTAAATTTAAATTTCAAACCCAACTGCTTGACAGTTAGACCATGCTACATGCATTGCGGGTGAACTTTGAAAACTTCGGTCACACTACAAAGAATAAGATTTTTCGACTAGTGAAACTCTTAGCCGATCTGAGTACTAGGCTTAAGCATTGATAAGATACATGGCGAACTCGATTGTCGAGACAAATAGGCCACTTGTAATTGAAGAAAAAGAGAGAACACGCGGAACATTAAAAGAGAAGAAATAAAATCATTAAATTTAAAGGCATCATTTACAAACAGGATGCTTTTTTAAGATGTTTACAACAAGCCTGATTTGTTGGATTACTAGAAAACAGAATTCAGTGACAGCATCATCAACCGAAGCCGAATACGTGGCCTTGTTCGAGGCTGTTAGGGAAGCCCTATGGTTAAAATCCTAACTAGTAAGTTTGAACATAAATATAAAGCAACCTATTACAATTTTGAAGATAATCAGGGCCGTATTAGTATCGCCAACAACCCCTCTTGCCGCAAACGTTCAAAATATATAGAACATGTGGAAAATGAACTAATAAAACTTTAGTATATTCCTACAGATCATCAACTGGCGGATATATTAACAAAACCACTCCCAGATCCACGCATCGCGAGGTCGATTGATGGATGCACACGACGATTCAATTAATTTTTTTATATATACATAAAAGTTGAAGAGTTAATTTAATTTATCATTTGAAGAATAATTTTTGAACTACGTTATTTTCTATTAAATCTGTTATAATTTCTAGTTATTAAGTTTGGAAACAGAAGATATTCTTAATTACTTTATAATTTTTAAATTTGTAAGATTACTTACTGAAATTGCCTTAATTGGTTTTGTATGTTAAATTTGCATCACATCATTTTGTCATCTTAAATATTCATTGTTCTTTATATTAATTTTAAGATTGACCTAATTGGGTTTTACTGGGTCTCCCCAATTCAAGCAACAAATGTTGGGTCAATGTGCACTCCCAGAGATATCTCCAATTCAAATTTTAAATTCTTTCTTAAACTTTAAATTTATAATTCATGAGCATAGGACTTTTGAGGAGGTGTGTTGGAAAATGGCATTACTTCATATCGATGAGAATATCGTATAAGCAAAAGTATTCTGCTCACTGCCGTAACTGGTCACACTATTATCGTTTTAATTCCGATGAGCTGGTTCGCCTCTCTCTCTTTCTGTAAAATTTGAAGTGACAATACGTGTTCAAGGGACCTAAAATATATATAGCTAAAACTATACATAAAGTTTATTTCAATTGGTTTGTGAACTGGTGGGAGATATACTATTGTGCCGAGCACATATTACACGTTGCAAGAAGACCATAGAACGACTACAAGAGGCAAATATATGGAATGTGGATTCTGGTGAAATAGAGTGACGCTTCCAGGAAATTACACATACACATACATACGTCCGTGTATATTCTTATAGGTTATGGTGCCAGACCACGCCATAACTGCAGCTGAGTAAAAGTATCATTTTATTTTATATTATAAATAAAATATGGAGAATACACATAAACGAAATATAAGGGCGAAAGTATAAGGGCATTATTAAAAGAAAAAAAGTTTATTAACCAAGAAGAAGAAGATGAAGATTGGGTTGAATGGCAGAAAATGAAGAAATGCGCAAAAAGCGTGGTCATTGAGTATTTAAGTGACTCGTTTCTAGGTTTTGCTAAAAGGGAAGATACTGCAAAACAGGTTTTGCAAAATTTAGATTCAATCTATGAGAGGAAGAGTTTGGCCCCACAGTTGTCTCCACGCAAGCAATTGCTATCTTTAAAACTTAAGAGCGATTCTCAGTTATAAAGCCATTTTAATTTGTTTCACGAACTCATTGCCGAGTTGTTAGCATCAGGTGCTAAGGTTTAAATGGGCAAGATTTCGCATTTACTACTTACACTGACTTCTTCGTATAACGGCGTATAATGGCAATTGAAACTTTAGCAGAAAATCATTTAACCTTGGCCTTTGTAAATAATAGTCTGTTGGATCACGAGATCAAGCTAAAAAAATAGTAGCAAAGATAAAGATTATGCAGGCTATAAAAAAGAACAGTAAAACTCAATTTTCTTATAAGAAAAATAGCAAATTTGCAGCGAATAATCTTAAAATTCCAGAAAAAATACTTCACTGGGGTTCTTATTGGATTCTGGCGCATCAGACCATTTGGCTTACAACGAGAATTAGTTTACAACTATCACTGAATTGGATGAACCTATTAAAATTTCTATTGCCAAGAACGATGTATTTATTTATGCAGTTAAGAAAGGAACAGTGAAGCTGTGGAGCTTAAAGATGTCTTGTAGTGTCCTGATATACCGAAAAACTTGATCTCAGTTTAAAAAATGCAGGAGGCAGGCCTTACCATGGTATTTCACCCAGTAGGTGTAACTGTTAAAAAAGGTCAAATAATTGTAATGAATGGAAGAATATAACATTTCCAAATATTCATTCATTCATTGGTTAATTTCTTTTCTAATAAACTAGCTTGTATTGCAAATGCAACTAAAAATAATAATTATAGTTTGTGGCATGAGAGGCAAGGTCACTTGAGTAAGGGAAAGTTTTTAGAAATTAAAACAAAAAAATGTTTGACGATACAGATTTGCTGAATTACATAAAACCAGAAAATGAGTTATGTGAAGCTTGTGCCAAGGGAAAGCAGGCTAGGTTAAGTTTTAATAAATTTTAAAATAAGGACCACATAAATCGACCACTATTTGTTGTACATTCTGATGTGTGTGGTTCAATAAGCCCATCTACTGTTGATCATAAGAACTATTATATAGTTTTTATTGATGAGTTTACGCATTGTTGTGTAACTTACCTGTTGAGTTATAAGTCAGAAGTTGTTAGTGTATTTGAAGACTGTGTAGCTAAAACGCATGCTTTGTTTAATTTAAATATGGTTAACCTTTATATTGATAATGGTAGGGAGTATCTATCGATTGAAATGAAAGAGTTCTGTGTTCAAAAAGGCATTACTTACCACTTGACGGTTCCACATACTCCACAACAAAATGATGTATCCGAAAGGATGATTAGATCTATAACGGAAATAGCTCGTGCTTTAGTTATAGGGGGCAAGGTTCAGAAAACTTTCTGGGGTGAAGCAGTGCTAACAGCCACCTACCTTACTAATAGAAGCCCAACTAGTGCATTACATGAATGCAGAAAGACCCCTTTTGAAATGTGGCACAGCAAAAAGGAGTGCCTCAGGTACTTAAGAGATTTTGGTTCTATAGTATACGTTCTCAATAAAACGAGAAAAAGAAAATTAGATGACAAATCTTGGAAAGGTAACTTATCGGGTATGAACCACAGGGATATAGAGTATGGGATGTGGAGAATAACGGATTTGTTGTTCCAAGAGATGTAGTGTTTGATGAATCAAACAGGATAACGTCTACAGCTGTGGATAATGATAACAACATGGATTTTCACAATATTGAAGAAAATATTGAACCTGATTTTCAAGACTCTTGTCTTATTGAGAGTGAAAGGGTTAAGAAAAACACTGATATGGTAGTATGAAGTGGAGAATTAAGTAGAAAATGCCGATCCAGAGATATCTGGTGTTATATCTGACGGTGAACCAAGTGACTCTGATACTCAAATAAGAAAAAGCATAGACTAAAAGGAAAGCCAAATTGTCATATAGAGATATGATTAAAAATGTGTGATACATGCGCAAACTTTAACAGGAAGTGCTCCAATATCTTTTGATGAAATTAATAATGGGAGTGATAAAAAACAGTACTTTATGTTGAATTTGACCCGTTTCCGTGGCCAAAACTCATTTTTCGCGAGTAAGCGAGTTTTTCCGATTTTCAATGCTAACATGTTAAGAAATGATTAAAATGCTATGTTACATACCTTAAATGTTAACTTAACAGTTTAGTGTTAAAATAACAGCTGTTAAAGTTAGTTGTTGCAAGCGAACGACAAGTGCTGTCTTAAAGGTTAACTTTGCGGTGCAATTTCATCTGGCATATCTCTGACAAAAAATCATTAAATAATGAAATTCAAAAAGAATATTAATTCTTCAGGTTTGTATTAGGTGTTGATACAAATATGTTGCGTGTTTCGTTCGTAACAATTTGTATATTTAGCAAGTGGTGTCCCCTTGTCACTTTTGGAAAGAAAGTTGAACTTTCCGAAGAGCTTAAAAACCAATTTCAAATTATTTCAGAGAGTGTCTATATACGAGGGCAGTCCGATAAGTACTTAGCCTCACCGCCCGATAGCGTCACTATCGCAAGAGAAATTTACTATCGTGTAGTACATACTCCTAGACGGCTACTGTCGAAATTTCAGCCGAATCGAACTCGTAGTTTTGTTTTGACTGCGTGTGGAATCGGACGTGTCCGCTGATTTTAGAAAAATGGAGAAAGAGCAATTTGATTCGATTCTTGTTCTCGGAAGGAAAATCGCGCAGCGAAATCAAAGAGCGCTTGGATGCTGTGTACGGTGTCTCTTCTCCTTCAATGGCGACCGTCATAAATTGGTTTAACGAGTTTCAACGTGGTCGCACTTTGGTTTTTGATGAGCCACGCCCAGTTGCCCCGAAATCGGCTACCACGGAGGTGGTGACGCGCAAGAATGGATTAACGACGGACGTGTGTTTTTTCGGGGTCCCAATCAGTCGGTCATATCTCGGAAAGTACGTGGTGTACATAGTTAAAATTTGCGTCAAAATTCGTGCCTTTGTGAAAGGAGTACGGTGGTGCAAAAACATTTGGGAAAAGTCAGCGGTGAGCGGAGTAATCGAAGTTTTCCTTTGTGGAAAATTCCACACGTGCGCGCGCCGCGTGTGCTTGGAGAGCGCTTTCGAGTGAGCGCTTTCGTGAGAGAGCTTTCGCGAGAGCGTTTGGCGTCAGGTGTTCCCTCTCGCGTGATTCCTCTCGCGCGTCAGCTGTGCGTGTACCGCCTAAGTTTTCTTATCGGGTAAGTGAGCATGCTCGAGAAAAAGTTTAGAGGGTAGGTGGGCGATGGCTCCATCTCCGATGGAGACGGAGGGTGGATGCTCGGGCAGCGAATCTGCCAGCAGTCGAGGTAGCGTCAGTGTCGGACAAAAAGGCCGTCCGAAGGGAAAGCGTGGACGAGGTGCTGCCGCACGGGATGCCTCGCAGGCAAAAATTGTTGCCGTGGATGGAGTTGGAGGCGGGCCAGAGCCTTTTGTAGAGGAGACGCTCTCCTCTCTGGAGATGCCGCCGCCGCCCGCTCCCGCTGCTCGCGTTGCTTCCGCCGCTACCGCTGCCTCTGCCGACGCCGACGTCGCTGCTAGTGCTGCCGTCGCTACTAGCGCTGCCGTCGCTGCTAGCGCTGACACCGCTGCTAGCGCTGACGCCGCTACTGCTGCCGCTGCTGGAGACGCTGCGAAACATGACCACGCCATGGAGGTGGTGAGGGGTGGCCCCGGACGGATTTCCGCGGAAGTCGCGAAAATTCGGACCGAGGTCATACTCGATACCAGCGTCATCGTGAGGAGCTCCACCAGGGAGCTCCTACTCGTCGTGGCCAAATATGAGGCCCTTATCTCGGCGCTCACGCTGCGTAACGCGGTCCTGGAGGACAGACATCGGCAGTCTAAGAAGGTACCACCGCCGCCGCCGCCGCCGACTACCAAACCTGCTGCCCCGCGGATGCCCTCTGCATATGCCTCGGCATATCCAAGCCTCCCGATGCCATCCGCCGTCCCGGTCCCGATGCCGCGAAAACCGCGCGAGACCTGGTCGGCCATTGTCCACAGTTCCGACCCGAAAATTTCGGGTAAGGAGCTGGCGGACAAAGTCAGGAAGGAGATTGCTCCCTCACTAGGAGTGCGTCTGCACGAGGTGAGAGGGCTGGCGCGTGGCGGTGCCATCATCCGCACCCCATCGTCCGGCGAGATACAGAAGGTGGTCGCGAACAAAAAGTTTGTAGAAGCTGGCCTAGAGGTCAAACAAAGCCCAGCGCAAACGCCAAAAATAGTGGTCAGCAACGTTGACACTGCGACGCCGCCGGATGAGTTCATGAGCGAGTTGTACAAAAACAACTTCGCTGACAAGATGACTCTGGAGTTGTATAAAAAGCAGGTGCGACTGGAGAAGTCGTGGTCGCAGGCGGACGGCGCCACAGTTAATGGGACGCTGGAAGTCAGCACCACGGCCCTCGACGTGCTAGACGGCGGAAAGGCCTATATTGGCTGGTTCGCCTACAACTGCCGGGCGTTAGTGCGCACATACGCGTGC